AAACCACCGTCCCCATTTCTGAAAAAAAAACCTATACGACAAAAAAAGCATATACAAAAAAACGTTCCCACAAAAAAAACCACCGTCCTCGTTTCAAAAAAAACCTATATGGTAAGTTTAAAAAAAAATACGAAAATAAAGTTGACATATGCATCTATCTATTCTATCTATTTCTATTATATTATAACTAAAAAATTACTAACGTTATCATTGGATGCTGCCGAGCTTAATTAATCCGGCTTTCGCGTCGCTTGGCTGCCGCGTGTCCCCATAGTTCGTTGGTCGTTCCGTCTTTCCATGTATTCACGTATAGGCGTCCGTTAGTCGCTCGCTTGTTTGCTGTGGAGGATCACGTATTCACGTATACGCAGGCGGACACGCGGCAGCCGCATCCAGGCTGTCGCACGAGAGCACGGTGCGACGCCGTCGCATACGAAAAAAATATTCGGCAAAAAAACTGTTTCCAAAACAAACTCTTCCATGGGCAAAAAAAAAGTTTCCGAATCAAACTCTTCCACGTCATCCACAAAGCCGGAAAAAAAAGTTTCCCAAAAAAATGTTTCCAAGAAAAACTATACAGCAAAAAACAAACCCTTTTTGAAACAAAAAATCAGAAAAAAACAAAACCAAAACGTTTTCGAAAAAAAAAAGCTTCCACATCGTCCACAGGCGGAAAAAAACGTTTCCAAAAAAATACCACTTCGAAAATCATATAAAGGACTGATTTAGGCCGATGGAATAGATCAGACACATATCTAACAGAGGAATTCGGCAAGGGCTTTGCTGACGAAAACAAAATAGATCACGCATATATTCATACAAGGGAAAACTTTGCTAACACCGATGAAACAGATCATGCACAAATTGAAAAAATAGTAATTTGGACAACAGACCCTCCCGCCACCGATGGCTCAAAGGCACAATCAAGTTCATTGTCCTCAGCAATTCTGCAGTTCGTTCGACGTCGTTTAATAAAGGTATTCAACCAAAAAAATTGGCCACCACGCAATGCACGGTCATTTATCTAGAGTTTGCAGAAAAAAAAATCCTCCATGCCTCTCCTCCCATCCACTCTCTCCTATTTTCGTCTCTCATCAGTCTCGTTCCCTCCTTGCAGCTACGCTCGTGTGCTAACCTGCGTCGCTTACCAGCAGCCTTGCGGCTACGCTTGCACTCGAGAGACCAAGAGAGGTGGACTGCAGGTGGAGAAAGTTAGACAGGGAGGTTTCTTACAACTTTAGCTGCACGGCCACATAGGTAGTTGACGGTGGCGTGGGGCGTGGCGGGTTTGGACCCTTAATCAAGCATACAATACATTGAGGACCAGATGATCACTTTTTTAGTTTAGGGATCTAAATGGAAATTAACAGTATGTTGTGGACCCTAGATCACCTTTTTAGTTCGAGGACCTAACTGAGAATACATGGAAAGTTTAAGAACCCAGGTTACATTTTACTCAACTGTATATCTCCTAAGATCGGGTTTTAAGTAGTGCCTCCATGCCCCCCCCCCCCCACACACAAAAAAAAGTAGTGCTCATTGCCCCAAAAATTATAAAACCAATTTCCTTAACTTCATTATACCATGGCCTATACGGTACAAGACATAAATACTTGTAGAATAAGACATTTCATGTAGCCAAATTATACAATTATTTCTCGCCAGCATATACTTGTACCCCAGTGTTTTGACACAATACTGAGCAACCGCGTCGTTACATAAAAAAATCTTTTTTTATCATGCGCTGATTGGGTTTAGGAGTAGTATACTCCCTCTGTCCTGTAATATAGTATATTTTAAGAATTTTAGGATATATTAAGAGAGAACATAAAATATGCATGTAGCCTCATTTTATTTTCTAATGAAACGTTATCATCAATATGACTAATGATGATTGATTGATAAATGGAAAGTATTTAATGCAAAATTGGTTTTTGTCCTCTAGAATGCATTATATTGAGGACAAATTTTAAATGTTAGGATGCAATATATTACAGGACGGAGGGAGTAACTTAGACCATAGGTATATCCGTATATATAATTCTAATGGAAACAAAGTAAAGCTTGTAGGTGTGAGATTCAAACCAAATGACTTTTAGGTAGGTTATCTGTAAACATATGGCTTCTAGGGACTGATTCATCCATTTTATTTATTCTAAGCATATTCAGATTCCCTTCTCGTAGCATTGTTGTATCCTAGTGTCTGGACACGAACGGAAACAAAACGTTTCTAGTCTTTATATGTGGTTGTCGTGCCAAGGTGCCATGAGACGAAGCACCATGTTGATTCGTGGAAGCGCAATCCCCATTGGACAGGATCATGCATGTTGATGCATGGACACTTCTGACAGGATCCACTATATATGCACACATGCAAGCATCAGACGAATGATCAATCCACCCTAAGGATATTGTCATTTTCCAGCCGACCATCCATGGTACATATATGCAACGGTATCCGAAATTACGTAATTGCACCAGAGATCGATGGTTAAAGAAAGCGAACAAACATACCGCAATTTGTTTTAAAGTAAACGACCACTCAGAATTAATTACTTATTACAATCTATCTCAGCTGTTGTTGCCTAAGGGCCTGTTTGGATGAGTTTTAGATTCTTAAAAACCAGATTTTGTCTCTAGTTTCTAAAATCTGGCTGAGAAAAAACTAGTGGGGTGTTTGGATCCTCCGGTTTTTAATAATCTTACTTTATTTATAGCTCACAAGGTCACAAGAAACTAACCAAAACTGGGTATCAACAGCTTCCTAGTTTTTAAGAATATGTCAAAAACTGACACAAAAAACTGAACAAAAACTAGCCTATTTGGATCCCACCTAGTTTTCAATAACCAGATTCTTAAAAACTGGTGGGATCCAAATAGGGCCTAACACAGCCCTAGCCCAAGGCCATGTGTGGCTCGGGGCTGCCTGCATGGCTCAGCTTCCTATTTATTTGAGTTAATTTCCCATTTAGAATTCATCTGTTATTGTACCTAGCATTAATTTTATTTTGGGGCACATACAACGGGCGTGCTGGCCATCGTCTCCGAATGGAAGTCTTGCAAAATCCCCCCCGGTTTGCTACAGTAAATGAGGAGAGAGAGTGAAGCCATCGCACCGGGAGACGACGGCGAGGGCTCGTGCTCCCAGGTGAACGGCCAGCTTCACGTTGTGCGGTGTCATCTTCTTGAGCCGATGCTGCGCGGATCCAGCTGCTCGTATGTCCCAGCCGCACACCATCTTTCACCGCCATTCTCGCCCAAATTAGCCTCGATGCCCTTGCACCTTCGCCGGATCCGCCCCTTACCTGTCTCATGATGGCTAGCCGTGATTTTTTTTTTCCTGAAACTGGCTAGCCGGGATTTGAAGAGGAAGGCCGCGGTGCCTTCGAAGAGCAAGACGAAGGCAGCACCACCAGCGGCGGCGGGGGCGGCTGTGAGTAGACTTCCTCGCGGAAGCGGCTTAGCCCCAACATCCAATCTAGCTGGTTTCAGCAACGGCATGGCAGTGCCCTTCGTCGGCCGCGAAAGCAGCTCGTCCCCAACACCCAACTCCTCGCCTGGTACGATTCATCCTCAATCCCTGACAGATGGCGTCGATTCTTCACCAATCCTTGGCAGACGAAGCTACCCAGTCGGATTTGGCTCCATCAGTCAAGTTCTCCTCGGTTTGGGCATCAATCAAGTTGGGATAATCCTTGATTTGCTTGAAATAGTATTCTGCATTTCTGCTCATCTAGGAAATCTATCCTAGAGATCATGTTTAGCCTGTTTGCATCTTTGATTTGTTTGGTCTGTGAAGTATCTACTTCGGTTCTGATGACATATATATACCGGTTGCTGAATGAATGTTCTACGCATTTTGTGCTGTGAAGTGCTTGTTTTGGCTGCTAGTGTAACTCAGGGAAAGGTCAATTCCAAATCGGTCATGTATTGGTTTATAGAGTTAGTTTAATATAGTCTGCATTTCTGCTTGTTGCAGTCAATTTACTGAGAATTACTGAGTTGCTACTGAGTACTACTGAGAATTACTACTGCATACTACTGAGAATTACTGAGAATTACAAGTTCAGTAAGAAATTTGATAAGAGTACTACTGAGTATTACTAAGAATTACTGAGTTCATGTATAAACTTTTGCAGGGACAACAGCACACATCCTCCTAGTGGATTTATGTATTGACTCTAGCTGCAAAAGGGAAGTCTAAAGGATCAAACCAGCAAAAGGGAAGTCACTAATCACTGAATTTTTGTAGCTACTGAATGTTTCAGTTCACTAGAATTGATAACTGAATGTTTTCACTTAGTCCAACTCTACAGTCAACAACACTACGCTAGTTCTGAATTTTTTCTAGCTAGAGAATGTGTCATACGCCATATGGATGTCATTCGCCGAACAAGGCCTCGGCTAAGGCGCCCTGTCGGGCCCAAAGCAGACTCGGCGTGAACCTCTACTTGTCTTTTGTGTTTTGTATCAATTAGCAACACAATAGTATATAGAAATAATATTCATGAATGATCATGGCTACATACAAGCATTAAATAATTTATAGACAACCAAACAGACAGCAGGTGTCTCTCTGTTGTACATGCCCTACTTGGATAAAAATGGGTCAATCTCCCAAATAAATTAATCGAACATGCGATGATTATAAAGCCATGGCAAGTGGTCTTTAATCCGAACCGGTTGGTTCATGGTCTGGCTGGATTGCCACTGAACTAGTTGTGACGGTACAATAATTACCTATTACTTTTACCAAAATCCATTGTGATGTACGATCGTAAAGGCAATTTCAGTATCAGTGAACTCAGCTATTCCCAATCTACAATTTACATACAGGTTAAAGTGTTTGGAAAATTAAACGAAAAATAACATTTAAGTACCTGATAAAATGAATCAACTATGTAATAAACGTGTTACTGTTACCTTACATTTGTTTCGTGCCTATATTAAAAGAGAGCCTAATCGTAGCTGAATCTGTTTGAGATGTGTTGTTATCTTATCTAGAAGTTGAATACTTTGATGGAGAAGGCAAACATGAAACTAAAGAGAACAGTGAAGCCAACAACGGCAGTAGCTGCGTAACCCAAGTGATCATGCGTAAACCCAAAGAATCTGTTGATGAAATCTTTCACTATTTCCCCGTCTTCCAGCTTAACATCTGTAATGTCTCCAAATTGGGAAGCCACAAGTCCATATAGTGTCCAAGCCACTGGGCATGTCCACGAGTACCAAATCCACCGTATTGGTATCCTCTGCAGAACAGTCATGTATGCTGAAGCATTGCAAAGAAAATTCAAATATATTGCGAATGTACATGGAGTTACTCTTAGAGACTTACTGGTCGGGGGATAATGAAGCCAGCAAAGATGTTGTTGGCCCACACAGGATCACCGGCTCAGATGAGTCGACCACTCACCAGTCTTGCCGACCACAACAAACATTGTCCGACCACACACTATGGCTAGAGGTAGAAGAAGGGAGGGAGAACAGAGCATACACACACAGCACAAGCACCAGCGTTGGCCGAAGCCCTGCAGAGGAGATGGCAAATCCGAACTCGCTCTCTTTACTGAGTTGCAGTGGCAAACTATATATACAACTCTATCCATCTAGTTCTAGTACAGCTGCTATGCTGCTACAGTGATTAGATAACATAGCAGGGCTGACTCTGGTGCCTGCCCCTGCTGCGGCTACAGTGCGGCAGGTGAGCCGTTCAGCGCTTACCCCTACAGCAGCTACAGTACCGCAGCAGGGAGCCTTTTCGGCGTCGTCTTCCCCTGCCGTGCGTTCACACAGGGATGCAGCAGATTATCTAACAATTCTTCCTCTAATTCTGCTGCTAACCATATAACCCCCTCCATGCCGATCATCTTATTTTGCTCCGTGAGTCGAACACGGCCGAGCGGCTTGGTGAGGACGTTCGCAAGTTGCTGACCAGTTTCGACGAACTCGATGACGATCTGCCCTCCATCGACATAGTCCCTGAGGAAGTGGAACTTCACTCGATGTGCTTTCTCCGGTCGTGGACAACCGGATTCTTCGCGAGGGCGATGGCGGGCTGGTTGTCCACCATCTATGCTGGTGGGTGAGCTTCCACACCGGTCAGCTCGCCCAGCAGCCGGCGCAGCCACACAACTTGGCACGCCGCTGTAGCCGCCGCTACGTACTCAGCCTCGCACGTAGACAGCGCCACCAACTTCTGTTTCAGCGACATCCATGAGATTGGAGCCGACCTGAGGAAGACAAGCACGCCAGAGGTGCTCCGCCGTCCATCGATGTCACCCGCCATGTCTGCATCGTTGAAGACAGTGAGTTGCATCCTACTTCCTCCGGTCTTGGGAAAGACGATCCCCTGATCCACCATTCCCTTGACATAGCGTAGTAGCCGCTTCACTGTAGCCCAGTGATCCTCTCTGGGATCCTCCATGAAGTGACTGACGTAGCCCATGGCGAACGCAATGTCCGGCCTCGTGTGGACTAGGTAGCGCAGACCACCGACGATGCTCCGGTAGAGTGTTGCATCCACCTTCGCCATAGTACTGGCCTTTGTCAGCTTCAGTCGCTCCTCCATCGAAGTCACGCATGGCTTGCACTCAGTCATGCCACTCCGCTCCAACAGCTTCGAGGCGTATGTGCTCTGACCGAGCGTGAGTGCCTCCCTCCCTTGTCTCACCTCAATGCCAAGGTAGTAGAAGAGCACCCTGAGATTGCTCATTCGAAAACGAGCTGTCATCTCGCGCTTGAAGCTGTTGATGTCCTCCGTACGCGCCCCGGTGATGATCAAGTCGTCCACATACACGCCAACAATGAGCTCCTCCTTCCCCCATCACCATGTATAGAGTGCGTGCTCGGTTGCACACCTCTTGAACCCAAGCTCGCCCAGCGTGGTGTCAAGCTTGGTGTTCCACGCTCGTGGGGCTTGCCGCAGCCCGTAGAGCACCTTGCGCAGTTGAAGCACCCTGTGCTCCGCTCTCTTCACAGCAAACCCCAGAGGTTCTCTGATGAAGACTGACTCCTCCATGTCGTCGTTGAGGAAGGCCGATTTTACGTCCAGATGATGGACGCGCCAGTCCTTTGCTCCTGCCAAAGCCAGTAGCAAACGGACAGACTCCATGCGCGCTACCGATGCAAAGACTTCCTCGAAGTCGATGCCCTCGCACTGGACAAAGCCTCGGGCCACAAGGCACGCCTTGTGCTTGACAATGGCGCCGTGCTCATCCTGCTTGACCTTGTACACCCACTTTAGGTTGATCGGATGGCATCCTGGAGGTGGATCGACGAGCTCCCAAGTCTCGTTTTCCTCGATCGCCTTCATCTCCTCCAGCATCGCCCATCGCCAGTCTGCATCGTGCTCAGCTAGCTCGAACGTGGGTGGTTCCTCTGCACTGACGCGAAGCAGCTTTGGCTCGTTGAGCAGCCTACCCGCTAGGCCTGAGGGTCCTGTGCCGCCAACGATGTCGTCCAGCCTGCGGAACCGCACCTCCTCACCTTCGTGGAAGGCATCCACGAACTCAGTGATGTCACTTGGAGGTGAGGCAAACTCGATCGGCGTCGATGGAGTTCCCTGTTCCACCAGAGTGCTCGGCACAGCACCTGGAGTGCTTGGCACCTCGGATGCAGTGCTCGGCACTACTCCTGGACCGCTCGTCATCACTCCTAAAGTGGTCGGCACCACTGTAGGAGTGCTCAGCCCCAGTTTTGTAGTGGTCGGCCCCACTGCAAAACCCCTTGGCTCCGCTACGGGAGTGTTCGGCACCCGTCCTAGAGTGGTTGCCACCACTGCAGGACCTCCCGGCACCACTCCTGGAGTGCTCGGCTCTATTGCTAGAGTGCTCGGCACCCCTCCCGGAGTGCTCGGCACCTCTTCCCTAGCGTCTCCACCACCGTGGATGACCAAGTGCTCGACGACGAAAGTGCTGGTGAAGCCGCCAGCTTCCCCCGTGCTCGGACTATTCCAGTCCCAAGCCACCTTCTCGTCGAACACGACGTCGCGCGAGGCAAGCACCTTGTCTCCACATGGATCATAGAGCCGGTACGCCTTGATACCCTCTTCATAGCCCAGGAACACCATCGGCGTGCTCCTGTCCTCCAGCTTGGTTAGGATCGGCTTCGTCTTCCTGACGTGGTCGATGCAGCCGAATGTCTGGAGGAAGGACACGCTCGGTTTTTGCCCATACCAAGCTTCAAACGGCGTCTTGCCCTTCAGGGCCTTAGTGGGAGCGCGGTTGAGGATGAACACCGCAGTGGTCACCGCCTCACCCCAGAACCTTGCCGGCATGCCTTTGGCCTTCATCATGGATCGAGCCATGCCGACCACCGTCTGGTTCCATCGCTCCACCACGCCATTCTGCTGTGGCGAGTATGGCACGGTGTGGTGTCGCACCACACCTTGATCTGCGCAGTACGCAGCGAACTCCACTGAAGTGAATTCGCCACCACGATCAGTCCTCAGCACGCGTAGCTTCTTGCCGCTCTCGGCCTCCGCACGCATCTTGAACTTCTTGATCGCTGCCACCGCTTTGTTCTTGCTCGTCATGAGTTGCAGACACATGTAGCGACTGCAATCATCCATGAGCAGGAGGAAGTATCGTCGGCCACCATTTGTGGCTGGCGTGATTGGCCCGCAGAGATAGCCGTGGCCGAGCTCGAGAGCGTCCATCGCGCGATACTTGGCCACCTTTAGGAATGGCAACCTCCTTTGCTTCCCAGCCAGGCAGCTATCACACAACTCGCCTCTATGCTTGATGTGGGGCAGCCCTCAGACCATCTTCCCCAGCCGACCAAGCGTGTCGAAGCTAAGATGGCCAAATCGGGCATGCCACAGCCACGTCTCCTCCGTGTGCCGTGCTGCCAGGCACACCGGCTGCTCCACTTTCATATCGAGCAGGTACAACCGGTTCTGGGACCTCTTTACCATGGCAAGAAGTCACTGCTCTCGGTCCCTGATCCTAAGGACACCGTCCTTGATCAATACCTCGCTCCCGCGCTAATCCAGCTGGCCAATGCTGATGATGCTTGAACGCAGCTGCGGGATATAATATACATCCGTTAGCGCGCGGTGATCGTCGTTCTGGCACCTGAAGATGATGGTGCCGTGCCCTCGGATAGCCACCCTTGAGCTGTCACCAAACTTCACCGTACCGGTAACATCATCATTGAGCTCGGAGACGGCTGCCTTGGAGCCCATCATGTGGTTGCTAGCGCCAGAGTCCAGATACCACCGCTGCTCCTGCTCACCGCCCACACGTCCGAGGTGGACTTGGGTGTGAGTTTCATTGAGGTAGACAACTTTCAGGGCCTTCCCAGGCCCTTCCACCGCCCTCACCTCTTCCTTCTCCTCGGCCTCGATGTCGTGCAGTGCACAGAACGTCGCCATCAGGACAGTGGCCTCATCCTCATCGTCAGCTTGCGCTAGATGAGACTTAGCCTTCTTCTCCTACTTGCGATTTGGGCACTCCCGTGCCAAATGGCCCGTCTTCCCGCAACACCGGTAGGCGTTGGGGTCGATCTGCTTCTTCTTCACCAAAGAAGCCTTGCCACGGCGCTTGCCATCGCCACCACGGCTAGAGGAGGCTACCCCGGAGTTCCTCCGAGCAGCCCACTCTTCCTCTATCAGCAGCAGCTTGCCGCTGTCCTTCGTTGTTGTCGCCTGCTCTAGGCGCTCGTCCACCGCTCGCAGACTGCATGTCACATCCTCAATGGTGAGGGTGGACAAGTCCAGCATCGTCTCTATAGAGAGAGCGATCTGGATGTACTTTGCCGGCACGGAGTAGAGATACTTGGAGACCGCCTCCTCTTCGTCGATGGTGACGTTGTGGCTCTTCAGCTTGCTGATGAGCGTCTGTAGGCGGAGGGAGAAGTCCTCCACCGATTCACCATCCTTGAACTTGAGGTTGGCGTACTCCTGCTTCAAAAGCTGGGCCGTCGCCTTCTTTACGCGGTCGGAACCGACTCGCATCGCCGCAATGGCCTCCCACGCCTCCTTAGCATAGCTCTTCGCCCCCAACAGCTCCCTATACTCCACTGATATAGCAGCGAGGATAGCCTTCAACGCTGACATATCATCTTCTTTATTATCGTTGCCCTTGTCAATAGCAATACAGAGCCGTCGGGCTTTGAGCTTGACCTTCATTGTCACCGCCCACTCGCCATAGTTGATGCGAGTCAGCGTCGGCCAAGTGGTGCCGCTGACCTCCCGCACCGTGCGAACAACGACCTTCTATTGTGGCTGGGCAGCCACAGCAGTGCCACTGCTGTCGTCCATCTCCAAACTGTCTGTCATCGCCAGCGGTTAGTCCGACGATGGCGCTTGTACGGCTCTGATACCACTTGTTGGCCCACACAAAGATCACCGGCTCAGGTGAGTCGACCACTCACCAGTATTACCGACCACGACAGACGTTGTCCTACCACACACTATGACTAGAGGTAGAAGAAGGGAGGGAGAACAGAGCATACACACACAGCACGAGCACCAGCGTTGGCCGGAGCCCTACAGAGGAGATGGCAAATCTGAACTCACCCTCTTCACTGAGTTGCAGTGGCAAACTATATATGCAACTCAATCCATCTAGTCCTAGTATAGCTGTTATGCTGCTATAGTGACTAGATAACACAGCAGGGCTGACTCTGGTGACTGCCCCTGCTGCGGCTACAGTGCGGCAGGTGAGCCATTCGGCGTCTGCCCCTGCAGCAGCTACAGTATCACAGCAGGGAGCCTTTCGGCGCCGCCTTCCCCTGTCGTGCGTTCACACCGGATGCAGTAAATTATCTAACAGATGTTCCATATTGCATAGCATGCAGTTGAAGCTAGGGCGGCGATGTCACTGTTTGGTGTCATGGCAACTAACATCATCCCATAGAATGTGAAGTACATGAAAAACATGTACCAAAAGAACTTTTGGACTGTCCAGTCGAAGCCTATCAAGGTATATATGATGAGACCATACACAACAGTCTGGAGGAAGAAGTGTGGGATCTCAGTTACAACCTGTTGAAGAGTTAGATTGTTAGAATCCGGCAGTCAGTTGGGACTTGGGATATTATTCAAATATTTTGCTACGACCATTTACCTGTGCAAAAGCATAGGGTAGAGCCGAGTACATTCCAGCAGCCTTTTCTCGATAGAATACTGTTCTCTCAACTTCTGCTATCGGTTGTACGGTTAGGCCATTCTGAACTCCAATTAAAAGAACCGTAGCATACATGGATCCCAAAGCGTCGAACAGGTCCCTCTTGCCACTGAAAAGGATAGGCGAAGCACAAGTAGGTTTCTTTGTCACAACTCACAACATGTCAAGCCTTAGTTGGCAATAAGTGTTACTTACACTTTCTTGCCTAAGCTTAAGAAGATGGTTCCAAATACAAAGCCAATAAGTGTGGTGAAGAAGATTCTAGTTGCAGTGTACGACGGGTTTCTCCAGCATGACGTGTTGCTTCCAAAGGCAAGCCATGCACTGTATGATGAAGGACTGTGAGTACTGTGTTGGGAAGTACAAGTCTTTGGATCCAGGTGGAGGTGTGCTTAACTCACTGACCAAATTTTTGTTCTTCCTAAAATGGTGCAACCCAACCGGCAACGTAAAAATGGAGCACAGGTAAAGGCAAGAAAACTAATTGGTGTCACCGAACATACCGGTATAAATCTGAATTCCTGTATACTTCAGCAAAGTTGCACCCAAGAATGTCTTCTTGAGCTAGGGTGGTCACTTCCAACATCCATGTTGCAGGATTGTAACCGTCCTTGATTTTCTTCACACCTCGTACTCCCTATACATTTGTAGCACCGAACATGGTTACGGGTTACCACTTACCATGCCTGGCATAGGTCAAACGATAGATGTTTCGCTCAATAGGTGAGTAATGAACCTCACCTCAAAGTACTTAATTAGGTGGCATGACTTGTGTCCCAAGGGGCCAACGTATATTTCTTCACCTTCCCGTTTTAGCAAGAACAGCTACAAAAGTTCAAGAACCGCATGTAACGGTTAACAACTGAACATTGGTTCGAGAATTACTTCTATAATTTTCTCATCATTTATGCTACTTACCTCATCAAAAGCTTCAAAGATGTCGATGCTGGGCTGATGGATTGTGCAGACGACTGTTCGTCCAGTATCGACCGTGTTTCTGACTGTCCTCATCACAATTGCAGCTGCCCTCGCATCTAGTCCCGAAGTTGGTTCATCCATGAATATGATGGATGGGTTGGCAACAAGCTCAACTGCTATAGTGAGCCTCTTCCTCTGTTCGGTAGACAAACCATCCACTCCTGGCAGCCCCACTAATGCTCCTCTCAGTGGCATGAGCTCGACGAGTTTAGCAACCTCCTCCACAAACATCTGTGTCCATAAAATGTGATCCAATCACACCAAGTGCTCTTGTAATCCATTGCAATTCCAAAAAAAAAGGTCAACAAGTTACTTATGAGCTATCAGAATGAAGGTCATTATATTCGATCTACCTTTCTTGATTCCAAGTCAACTTCAGGGGGCAACCGGAGCCATGCTGAGAATAGGAGGGATTCATAAACAGTGACATGTGGACAGTGGATATCACTTTGCTCGCAGTAACCAGCCATCCAGATATGTAAATATCTCCTTCAATGTAGCCACTAGTTTTCCTTCCTGCCAACACATCCAATAGAGTCATTTTACCCGCTCCGCTGACTCCCATCAATGCCGTAAGGGCTCCAGGTCTGAAGGCTCCACTTACACCCTTCAGCAGTAGTAGCCGGTCTTCAGTAATACCTTTGTCTTTCATTTCCTGTAGAAGATAAATAGATTGAGATATGTGCAGTATAATTAGTACTTACTATTTACTAGTAGCAATTTCTGTATGCGTAAAAATAAAAATCTACTTTACTGTCTCTGTTTGAAAATAATTCTTGTTCTGTTTTGTGCCTGTGTTGTTTGTTTTTCGTTTTTGGCCTGTGCTAGCATAGGATTGTGTTGTATGCATTTATTTTCTTTAATGAAATGCTTAAAGTTCTCCTGTGTTGTTCATTAAAAAACAAATGACAGATTGCTTACCTGAGGCATGTCCACGGAGTATTTGATATTGTCAAAGGTGATTGTCAATGGCGTAAATGGAAGTACCATTCCTCTCTTCTTAGTGTCTGCTCTGGTGATTTCTCCACTTCCTGCAATTGTAATTAGTGGATTCTTTAAAGGATGCAAGACTGACACGTACTGTTAAGCGCATGTTACAGACCATCGGATGGTGAATTCTGGCAGTCTGTTCCAAGAGGCAGCAGTTCAACATTCTCACCGGTACGGTTTACATGCTTCTCTCTCAGTTCCTCCTCAGAAACAATAGTTTGGCATTTTCTAAGTGCTATTGTAACAGGAATGACATCATGCCAAACATAAGATGGTTTCTTTTCAAAAGGACAAACATAAGATGGTTTTGTTCTAAAAGACAAACATAAGATTTTTTAAGTGTGTGAATCAATCTATCTTTGAACTGGAGAGTACTCACGGCCAAGCCAGTCAAGGAACAGTACAAAGAGTAAATTGAAAATCATGATGTATCCAAGCAATGCTCCAACACCAACCCAGTACCAGTTTGGCTCTACAAAAATGCCCCGTGCCTTTAGGATTTGGACACCGAGTGTGCCATTGTTTTCTGTCTTATCGACCTGCACAAAAGTTTATGTCATTTGTCATTTCAGTTATCAATCTGAACTTCAGAGACATCAAGCTCGCATTGGTTGGATCACCACCTGCCAACTATTGCCAAGGAACTCATTCACCGCTATGGCATTCTGGGCATACATCAGAGGGGAGGACCAGTAACCCCAAATCCAGGATGTCTTGATGTTATCTGCAGAAAGAGAGCTAAGTCCCACACATTGGACACTAAACGATGACTGAATGAATACATTACATACTTCTTGCTATCAAGAATCCACCAAGAATCAGCAGGGCAATCTGAGCAAATGAGCCAAACGTCTCTGCAACAACCATGTCTCTTCCTACTGCAGCAAGAAGCCGGAAAAGACCAGATGCCATCTGGCTTATTAGTACAAGCAGAAGGTAATGACGGAAGAATCTTTCGATGCTTGGATCAAAACCAATGACATAGTAAGTCATGCCAGTCCACATAGCGCATTCCAAGAATGATATTGGGATCTTGAGCAACCATGTAGGCAATGCATATGCCCATGATGGATAGAAGAGATGATCTCTCTGCTTATAAAATATTGGCAGCTTTGCAATGCTCATGGCAACCTCAACAAAACCATTGAACAAATGTGTAACTAGGCCAAGGAACATCGCGCCTAGAAAGATGACTCCATCTTCGACACTGTGTCGATGCATTTTTGTGCGCGGGAAGACCGTCATTGCAATGGTTCCTAGGATCATGAGCTGGTACAATTATGTACCAACCATCCAAATCGATAACTATCTGAATTTCAAAATAGAGAAGATTTTAGGAGCCAAAATGCATGTTTCTTACCTGCACTACTTTGATGATGTAAATGAATGAGTTCCTCTTCATCAGCAGCCACTCCCTAGAAAAGCATGCCTTGAGAAGCTCCATCCTGCTGATACTAAACTTTGATGTTGTGAGGGCAGCAGGGTGGTTCTTGGTTCGATCGAAGGGCACTTCGAGCTCCAATCCCAATGCATTCCCAACATGAAATACTTTGAAGGTCGCTACGAACTCATTTACTGAGACGTACCGATATGGCTCATCTCTTCTACACCAGTACTGGTATTGATCCTTCCTAGAAGTAACCTGTTCATTCAAATAGAACAATGTCAAATTGGATTCTAGGAATTTTAAACGTACAGTAAATGGCATTCTCCCAGATCACTCACTTCTTGCAAGAAGTCTGCAACACCTTTCCTATCAGGACATCTGAAGCCCGTGGCCTCAAAAAACTCGATGACATTTTCTCGGGGACCCTGGTACACGATTTGGCCTTCAGCAAGGAGAATGATATCATCGAATAGCTCATATGTTTCAGGTGCAGGCTGAAGCAATGAGATGAGTGCAGTGCCACCAAGGATGTGGACCGACTGCCTTAGAGAGTTGACGATCTGATAGGTCGTGGAACTGTCCAGACCAGTGGAGATTTCATCCATGAATAGTGTATTAGCTGGCCCAACAAGCATCTCACCTATGCAAATCGAAAAGGTTGAGAAGTCAGATATTTCTGTTATGCTTCAGGGGTTTTATGTATGGATAGTTCTTCTTAGCTGCAGATTCATATCAATTGTGACACGCTTCCTTTGTCCCCCTGAGATACCTCTGATCATAGAGTCTCCAACCATTATATCTGCACAAATATCCAGACCCAAAATCTGCAAAAGAAATGCATACTGTTACTGTTAGGGGCGAAGGGGCATATCCATTTCTCCTGTACCTTCTTCGTGTAGTGTACTCTTTTTTAACTCACTTTGAGGATATAATCAGTAACGAAGTTCTCTTGTCCTTCCTGGAGATGGCCTGTTTGCACAGAATAGCACAAATACTTGGAAGATCCCCTGTTACTTCTTTTTCAAATAAGGGTTTGGATTGAAATTTAGTAACATTCTACCTTCATGTAAACATCAATGTCAGGATCTGGCCTAATTTTGGCTTGTTTCTCCCTTCTTGAGAGTTCAGTAAGCATATCTGTGATGTAGAACACCATGCATAGAAGTTACTAAACAAAAGGTCCTTCCTTTCATATGACCATGTCCATGTGTGACTTGTTACATAGCCATACATACCATAACGTGTTCCAACTCCTTGACATCTTGCAGCGAATGCCAATGTTTCACGGACCGTCATTTCACCTATGTGAACATCATGCTGCCCTATGTATGCCGATGTACTTTGGGGGACAAATTCGTCCATGTCATGTCCATTATAAGTCACCCTTCCTGATACCTGAAGAATTCCATTACAAAGTTCATCGAAGAGCCATGTTAGAACCTGTAGCTAGTTTAATTTTCTTTGAAGTAGTCTTCTACCTTTAAGTTAATAACAACTCAAACTCAAGAAGCATGCACGTTGTGATACCTTTAGGGTTGAATCAAGTTTCCCTGCCAAAGCTAGAAGTAGACTCGTTTTCCCAGATCCAGGAGCACCTAGTAACAAAGACATTCTGAACAAATTCCACGTGATGACTAAACTCCAACCTAAAGCAAAATCATTTCTATATTCTGTTCTGAAACTCTTGGTTTCTTACCTGTTCGATCTTACGATTCCACTTATGTCATGAAGGATGGAGATAGGTCTCTTCCCACTGGAGATAACGTGCAAAGCAGTCAGCGCATACTGAGAAAGGAACAGCTCACAACAGTCAGGAGCTGAACTGCTGAAGAAATTTGACAACCCTTTTTCCCACGGCTAGGAAGCATGAATATTTATGCCACTACAAATGCATACCATGACTTTGTTGGAGAAGATGTTGGTGAATGTTGGGACTCCTTGTTTGCCAACAATAGACCTCCGTGTGGATAGTCAAGTGCTCAAACCGCACTTCTATTGTCGGGTTCTGAATCCCAACTCTACCAAAAAAACAACCTTAGAAATTAACCATGGAAATCAAGATGACTTGAGTGCATATGCTCAAAAATCAAATTAGGTGCATAATCAAACAGTTCTGCTTCTGAAGTTTTCAAAAGTGTGTGATCAATGACAGGAAGAATGAAGTGGAGCTAGTTATGAGTGATCGCCGCTCCATCCGTTCTCGCAGCTTCAGAGGAACCTCTCGTTGTCCTCCACGGGGATACGGATGAGGCGCTGGATGAGGCATTTCCTTTCCTGCATGCTGAGCTCCTGGATGTCCACCTCCTGCATGCCAGCGCCCACTGCTGTGAGGATGCCTTTCCTCATGCGGTCGTAGGTGGGCAGCTTCTCTATGGCCGCCCATCGCAACACCTCCTCGTCGTCCTCCTCCCTTGCCGACGACCAGAATGCATTGCTTCCTCTCGACGCACACCATGATGACGATGCCCGCAGCAAGCTCCCATCCGGGTTGTTCCCCATCCGCACCGTATCCACCCTCCTGCTGTCCTCTTCCATACTTACAGCCCCAGTACAATTGACCTCTTCAAACTCATTTGTTGTTAATCTCTTCTTTATTTGATCCTTTCTTGTTTCTTGCTCAATCGCTTCTCCTGACTTTTCTCATTGTTTGCTACTATATATGCATGGTGGAAGCAAGCTATGCTTGTTGCATATCGGATCAAATCTGGAACTACATGAGGGTAGCTAGGCCCTTGGCCGCTTGATTGAATAGAAAATATAATGGTCTATTTTTACAATAACACTTTCTTGCCCTTTATAGGCAAAGGGGACTCCCACTTACTACATCATATTCCAACCACTAAAGTGGATGCTAAGCATATTCCTAACACTATGATTGAAAGCCAAGGAAAGTAAAAAGTGCAGGAAAAGTAAGATACAAGTGCTTTAGTACTAGGCTTATCTATCAATCTCCCCTGAGCCTTGTGTCGAGCACTAGAGGTGATCTGTTGTAGCCCAATCCTCTCTCTCATCTCTTGGAACTTGGACTTCCCCAGCGACTTAGTGAGAATATCAGCCAGCTGATCAGTAGTGGTAATGTGGCTGGCCTTGCTTCCGTCCTCTAAGCAATCTCTAATGAAGCGGTACTTGATACGGATGTGCTTGCTTCTTTCATGGAAGATAGGGTTCTTGGCTTGAGCTAGAGCAGACTTGTTGTCCATCTTCAGCTCAACCACATCCACCTTCCAGCCAAGGAGCTCTGCCAGCATCCTTGACAACCACAGCGCCTGTGTTGCGGCAGTGGTGGTGGCGATGTACTTCCCTTCATAGCTTGAGAGGGCCACCACCTTCTGCTTGAGGGACTGCCAGCTGACCAAGCAATCACCGAGGAAGAACATTGTCCCGGTTGTGCCCTTGCTGGTATCCACATCGCCGATGAGGTCGCTGTCGCAGTAGCTGACGAACCATGTCGTGTTGGGGGCCCTTCCGTAGTGAAGACCGTAGTCGAGGGTGCCCACCACGTAGCGCAGGATTCGCTTGACGGCCTGCAGATGCTCCATCGTCGGCCGCTCCATGAATCGGCTCATGTACCCGACGACGAACACGATGTCCGGCCAGGTATGGACCAGGTAGCACAAGCTCCCAATCAGCCACCGATAATGGGTTGGATCGACCTCCTCCGCCGTGCTCCCCCGACTCAGCTTGAGCTTCTCCTCCATCAGGGTGTGGGCCGGATTGCAGCCTGTCATGCCGCCGAGCTCGAGGATGCGCTTGGTGTAGTGGGTTTGGCGGAGGGCAATCCTAGTGGCATCCTAGCACACTTCTATGCCGAGGTAGAAGCAGAGGAGGCCAAGGTCGCTCATGTCGAACGCCTTCTTCATCTACGCCTTGAACACCTCCACCTTCTGCTCTTCCGCGCCGATGATGATGAGGTCATCGACGTAGACGCCGACCAGTAGAACATTGCGTTCGCTGCCCCACCAGTACGCCGCCGCCTCATGTGCGCTCTGCTTGAAGCCCATCTTCTTGAGTGTGGCATCGAGCTTTGCATTCTAGGCGCACGATGCCGGACGCAGGCCATAGAGTGCCTTGCGTAGGCGGTATACCTTCCTTCTTCTCCGGCGATGGCGTAGCCAGGTGGTTGGCGCACGTAGACCTCCTCCTTGAGGTCGCCATTGAGGAAGACGGACTTCACGTCCATGTGGTGGACTTGCCACCCCTCTTGAACCGCCAGCGCGAGGAGGACACGAACTGACTCCATGCACGCCACGGGGGCGAAGGCGTCGTCGTAGTCGATCCCCTCCAGCGGAACAAAGCCGTGCATCACCAGCCATGCCTTATGCTTGATCACCGTGCCCAACTTGTCCTTCTTGCGCTTGAACACCCACTTCAGGGTGATAGGGCGGTGGCCGTCAGGCAGTGGCACCAGCTCCCAGGTGCGGTTCTGCTCGATGGACTTGAGCTCCTGCTCCATTGTCGCCCGCCACGTCGGATCACCCTGCGCCTCAACGTAAGTGGTTGGCCCACCGGCGTGCGTCAGATGAAGCTGGGCGAAGAGCCTCTCGGGCTAGTCCAGTGAAGATTGGTCGTCGAGGATGCTTGCCACAATGCGGCATCGTAGAGGCTCATTGTTGTAGTAGGCGTCCAGGCGGTCTTCATCATCCTCCAACGGTGTGGCGTACTTGACCTCCGGCTGCCCTGCATGTGCTGGTGTCGCAGCGGGCGAGGTAGAAGATGCCAAGGAGGTCAGCTGGTATGCTGGAGAGATCGGTTGTGGTGATGTAGAGGTCGGAGAGGTCGGAGCTGCTACCGATGGACTACCGACCACCGCCGATGGGCTGCCGAGCTCCCTCGGATTTGGTGATGGCGAACAAGGCGGAGTTGGTGAAGAGGTCTTCGCTGGTGATGAAGACCCATACGTCGATGAAGATGCACCTTGTGCTTCCTCAGCACCTCCAGCCCACGCGTACTCGATGGTGAAATCACGAAGCATGGTCACCGACCCGTCATCCACCGCCTTGTCCTATGCCTAGCCACGTCCTTCATCGAACATGATGTCGCACGCCATGCGCACGCGCCGTGTCGTCGGGTCGAGCACGTGGTAGGCCTTAGCCTCCTCTGTGTAGCCAATAAAGACCCCTGTCTAGCTGCGATCATCGAGCTTGCCGATGTGGTTCAGCTCCTTAACGAAGGCGAGGCAGCCGAAGATGCGCAGATAGCTGACCACCGGCTTGCGCCCGTGCCAGCCCTCATATGGCATCTTGCCATCGAGCGCACTGGTCGGAGAGCGATTGAGCAGGTGTACGGCGGTCATCATGGCCTCTCCCCAGTAGACCGCCGACATGTCGCGCTGTTTGAGGAGCACGCGCGCCGCTGCCACCACTGTCTAATTACAGCGCTCGACCATGCCATTCTGCTGCGGTGAGTAGGACGCGCAGTAGTGGCGCTGAATCCCCTCGTCGGCGCAGTACGCCATGAACTCAGTTGTCGTGAATTCGCCACCATTGTCCGTGCGGAGCACCCGAAGCTTGCGTCCATACTCCTTCTCCATGGCTGCCTGGTGGCGCTTGATGGCGTCCGTAGCTACTGCCTTGGAATCGAGCAGCATGGCCCAGATATAGCAGGTGGCGTCGTCTACGAGCGGTAGGAAGTAGCGCCGACCTCTAGGACTGGCCGATGACACTGAACCACAGAGGTCGCCGTGCACCAGCTCGAGATGCTTGGTGGCGCGGTTGGAGGCTTGACGCGGGAAGGTCCAGTGCTTTAGCTTGGTCACCACATAGGTGTCGCAGAGCTGATCGACGTGGTCTACGCAGGGCATGCCGCGGACCATCTCTTTCTTGTCGAGCTGCTTCAGGGCTTCAAAGTGAAGGTGCCCGAAGCGCTCGTGCCAGCGCCACGCCTCATCATCCCAGCGCGTGGCAAGGCAGAGGAGGTGTAATTCTAAAAAAAAGTCTAAGTTATAAGGCCTAAGTACTTGTCTGTAATTTGTAAAGTAATGGAAGCTTGGGAGTAAGATAGTCGCCCTCTTGTATAACTAGAGCCCATTGGACTATGTAAAGGGATGGTTTTCCCTTACATATTGAAATCCTAGCTTATTATGTCCCTCTCTCTCTCTTCTATTTAAGCTCCAAACCTAACCGTTGTCATTGTCTCGAGGACGAGAGAAAAAATGGAGAACAGAGGAAAAGGTTACACCAAATCGGTTTCCTCTCAAGTGCTCTGAGTTCCATCCCATGAGCGGTTGAAATTCCCATTTTTCCCCTGCTAAGGCCTGTTTAGTTCCTACCCCTAAAGTTTACTCCCTATCTCATCAAATGTTTAGACACATGCATGGAGTATTAAATATAGACTAAAAAAATAACTAATTGCACAGTTTGCGACTAATTTGCGAGACGAATCTTTTAAGCTTAATTAGTTCATGATTTGACAATATGGTGCTACAGTAACACGTGTGCTAATGATGGATTAATTAGGCTTAATAAATTCGTCTCGCGGATTACTGACGGATTCTGTAATTTATTTTTTTATTAGTATCCAAACACCACATACGACATCCTTATGTGACACCCGATGTGACACCCAAAACTTTACACCATGAATTTAAATTAGCCCTAATGAAGGTCTGGTCTGTGTGAAATGACAACAGCCTATGAATTTCTGTCGAGCTAGGCCTGGCAAAGCTCCATCCAGTCGGCCCAATCTCCATCGGCACACGAAACACAAATCAGGCAGAGGTCCAAATGACCCACACGAAGGTGCCACGGGCCTCAAAATTCTAGCCCAAACCTCAGCTCCGAAGCTCCAAGCCCAAGCGAAGGTCCAGTAGGGACAGCGACACGTTGGTCATGTACCGTCGTCATCTCCAGGTTATTCCCATACCTTGCCGCGGCGACGGCGAAGCACCCGAGCACGTACAGGAACGCGAGGAACACGATTCCGAACAGCTGGAACTCCACGAGCTGCTCGGCGCGCTCCTGCGCCGCGGCACTCGACGCGTGCGTCGGAGCGAGGGGAGTCGAAGCGGCGGACGCAGCCTGCGGGGAGCATGGGTCCGTACAGCGCCAGCCCGGTCTGGTAGAACCACAGGCCCTGGACGGCGATGAGGACGCCGGCGCCAAGGTCGGCGGGGAGGCTGGAGGGCAGGAGCGCGCAGGCGACGGCGGCGGCGATGCAGAGCGCGAGGAGGACGAGGAGGAGGTAGGGCGTGGTAGTAGCCCTCCAGCCCCGTGTGCATGGTGGAGTGGAAGTGGAACAGCAGGAACTCCGCCGTGAATGCGCTCGCCAACACCAGGCTCAGCGCGCCGTCCGACAGAGGCAGGTACGGAGGTACCTGCAGTCACCAGTCATCTCCCGTCCCCATTGCAGAAATGAAAGAGTTGTTAGTTGTTACGGTGGGCAACTGGGCTGGGCATTCGTCGGACTGACCTAGTCTTCTCGGAGACGAGTGCGAGCGCACCGAAGAGGAAGAACATGAGGAGCATGCCGGCGTGCTCGAGGCCGCCGAGGTAGGCCGCCGCCACCGCCGGTGAGGACGAAGCGGAGCGGGCTGGCGTAGAAGAGCTCCACGCACATGTCCAGGAACGCGCCGCCGGCCACCACGTGCAGCTCCAGGAGCCGTGCAGGCACTGCCGGGACGGGGTTCCAGGCGCGGACGCGGAACGCCGTCGGCGGGTCGGCCGCGAAGCGCGCCACTGACGCCCACACCCGCCACAGGCCCACCGCCAGCAGCAGCGTGCCCGGCAGCACGTGGCCCAGGAAGTCACCCATAAGGGAAAATGAGAACGTACGGTGGTACAGTAGAGAGTGTTAGGCCCAATGGTCCAGTCGGGCCTCTGATCCGTGCTCTGATCGGGGCATCCAGCCCACTATGGCTAGAGGGCCCTGTCACACTGCGCTAAACATAGAGGTGGGGGCCGGCGGCTCTGAGTACGAGGATCGTCTGAGCCGAGCTCCCCACCGAAACCTAAACCATAATCTCGATCAGAGGGGGGCGCAGCCAGTGACGAGAAGCCACCAGCCGCGCCGCCCCGCTCCACCGACGTCGATGACTTCATTGACCTCTTCCCCGAACGTCGCTGCCCGTGCGTAGACTTCACCGACGAACGAGATGGCGGCTTCTGGATCATCTCCCTCTGCGGTGTCAGGTTCGACACGTTCTTCTTCTATTCCTCTCTGTCTCTACTCTCGATATCACATTCACAGTAAAGAGAATCCGCTAGACCTAACCCTAGATGATCTTTTCGATCTCAACAATGGTACCAGAACAAGGTTCTTCTACGGTGTAGATCTAGGTTGGGGTAGAAAACTAAAAAGAAATAGGAGAGAAAGAGGAACAGATGGTTCAATCCGTTTCGGATTAAAACCCTAACCCTAATTGAGAAAGAAACCGAGCTGCAGAGAGTACAACCGAACCCTAACCCATCAGGGAAGAACAGTGACTCAACCCGTACCCTAACCCGTCGGGGAAGATGAACAGTAACCCTACCCTAACCCTAACCCCAAATTGGTTCATCTCCGAGAAGAAAAGAAAGAAGATCCAAAAAGAAGAAGGGGAAAGGGGAAGAGCTAGCAAGGCGGCTTACCTAACGTAACCCTAACCCTAACTCGCGACGAGAAAGGGGAAGAGAGTGAACGGACAAGGGTCAGGAGCAACTACCTAGGGTCCGCCCGCTCCGTCTCCACCGCCGGGCGTCGCATGGACACCGCGCAGGAAGTCAACCTCAGCCGCCGGGTCAGGAGAAGTGCCGTCACACGATCTCCGCCTCGGGCTCGAGCCAAAGGGCACCACCGTGGTGCCGCGCGCGGCTCCGGCCGCACGCGTGCGCCAGCGAGGGGTGCCACGGCAGAGCCGCCATCCCCGCGTCGCGTCCACTTTGAGCTCTCGGCTGCGCTCTGTCGCTTGCGGGACTAAGAGAGAGGGAAAGCGAAGAGAGAGGAAGCGACCGGCTGCGTGCCGAAGAGAGAGGAGGGGACAGTGAAAATGGAATTAGGGTTTCGGGGGCACCGGCCGTGGCGCGCTTTTGATCACCCGAGACGCGTGGACGACCGTCGATCTTAGATGAATGGCCCATGTTGCGGCCTGGGAGGCACAGCGCGCGCGTCAGCAGATCAGCCCGGGCTGATTTCGCTGGACTGGGCCGCACGCTGCAGCGCTATGAAACTGGGACGGTTACTGTTGCTGCAGGCCGGGCCAGAATGAACAGTCAATAAAGTTTCAAGTTTATTTAATTTTTCAGAAGCATATTTCGATGATTTTTGTCTAGTTTAATATCTCTGTTAAAATTTGAACCAACGGGATAATTTTTCAGAGAATAGTTGAGAAAAGTTTAATGCTTCTGAAAAATAGATAATTAAATTTTTTTTACGTTTTCCGCTGCTAAAGAAATAGTTTATTCTCTAGTTATTTTGAACCAACGTGATATTTAATTGGAAAAAAAGAGAGATTTTGACATGATTATGATGTTGTTATTTTCTGACCAACATCACCCTCATTCAAAATGAACCATTGTGTGCCACTACGGGATGATCGGACGCTCCGGTCAAGGTGACCGGACGCTCCGGTCAGTTCTCCCCGCTACCGAGCAGTTAAGTAGTAACCGGACACTAATCAGCATCTGGTCAGCACTGATCGAACGTGTTCGATCACAAAAACTGCCCTCTGAAACCTTACTGATGGTGACCGGACTCTGGCACCCAGCGTCCGGTCACTTTGCTGCTCAGCGCCCGGTCAGTAGCCGGAACCTGACCAGCGTCCGGTCAGCCCTGACCGGACGCGTCCGATTAGGATTCTCCCTCTCTGGGACCTTACTGGAGTTGACCGGAATCTGGCACCCAGCGTCCGGTCACTTTGCACTCAGCGTCCGGTCGCATCCAGACGACTTCACCTTGATCAAATGAACTGACCGGACTCTGCGCCAGTGTCTGGTCACACCGGAATCAGCATCCGGTCAACATTTGACCCTCCATTTGTAACAGAACCGACCAATTATACAAAATTAAGTAAGAAAATCATCCACCAGAGCAGACGATTGAACAAACTTAAGCCCGTATAACCCGGTAGTCCGTGAAATCACAAAGGATTTCAAACCAACTCGTGTCCCAGCCATGATCGTAATAAGTTTAGCGGTCACCATCACATATTACATAAAAGTTCGCAATCTCAGATACATCAGAGTTTAAACATAGTTATTACAAACCAGTTCGAATAAAAGTAGCGGAAGTTATTTGTTCAAACCACACACACACTCACGCGGAGTTTAAATATAGTGCCAGCGAATGATCATCTCCAACAAAAGCATTAGATGAGACGTAAGGAATGACCATGCCCATGGTCCTAAGCATCACCCATCGCAGGATAGAGGCAGTTGATACAATAGCCGTAATACATCTGCCCATCTGCAACAAGTGGGAATAAAACCCTGAGTACGAGAAGGTACTCAGCTAGACTTACCCGACATAACCGAAAAATAAATGACACCAAGGATTATGAAGGCTTTATAGTAGGGTAGTGACTCATTTGCAAAAGAAGCATTTTAGCATTTCAAGAACCTTTCTAAAAGCATTATTGTCAAGTTAATTATTATTAACTCGTCGACTAGATTTGCACCTATACTAGAGTAAACATGTGATTAAGCAATTAATGATAACCATGATCATTAAACAACTTCCATATTGTCATATTCACTATAACTGCCCAAGTGTTCCATAAACATTTACTACGATGAAGTAACTCAAGTCAAGTGCTCACTATCCAGAGCGATGGCGATTCGAATCGATTCCTAACCACCGGTGATTTATTCCTTACACAAATCTCACTCACCCGCTAAAGTGAGATATTGATCACCGAGTCAACTTTCCAGGTATCTCGAGTTTGCCAGAACCACATGTACCGGGGCCGACCGATCGCACTTTGGTCTTATCATCCCGCCCGTGTCCTACCACACACGCCGCCGCACAGTCAAGGCGCGGGCAATCTACTCGGCCCAAAAAAATCTCCCTTCATGCGGTCGGAAGGTACTTTATCCGCCGCGACTAAATGTAAGGCATGCGTTCAACATGACTCGAGGCCCAACAACGGTCGGTTCTTAATCGATACTGCACGGAAACACTACAGTCCAAAAACCCGCAAGTCTCGCGCCGGTCTCAACTTCATTTAACACTTAGTTATACCATGACTTCATAGCCATCCAAACAGATCCGTGTAACCACCTATAGCTCGCAGTGATGTGAAATCACCCGACTTCTACCGGTCTAAGCCAACTAAGCATTGACTGATCATTGCGGATACCGTGGTAACAAGGATATAGTATAACAAAGGTAAACAAGGTATAATGCAAAACGGTTGCAAACAACTCCCGAACGTAATGCATCAATTTAAAGTAAAGTATTTAATGAAATCAATGCAAACCGGAGAAAGATGCTCGGGCTTGCCTCTCTCAAGGAGCTTCTGGCGGTGATCGGGGCACTCGGAGTTCTTCAACGCCCTCCTCGTCGGCTTCTAGCACTTCTCGCGGGCCGCACTCGAAAGCTGCCGCCTCGGGAATGACGACCGGGTTCTCGGTTTGCGATCCCAGATGATGCAATGCGTAAGTGCCTATGCAATCGGTGCATCAAGGAGATGAATGCAATGGATATGTTGAAAAGCAAGGTAGTCACATCATCCAAGAAAATATACTACAAGCACATGTCATCTACTGCATTCTCTTCTACTACTAATAGGTTAAGTCAACACATCTTATTAAATGCTTCAAAGATACACCAAAGCTAACATTATTAACTAACTTGCATTAAAGAGGATTATTTTATTTCATTTGAAACTAAGGCTACAACAGCAACCTATATTTCTGATGCTTTATAAAATCTAAGAAAATTACAGTAGCATAGTACTACTCTAAGCAGACTACCATAAAATTTTCAGGGCATTTGGATAAGTAAACTATCCTACATAAAAATGACAAGCTATAGCATAAAAATGAGCATGAAATTACTTTGTACTATGAAAAGTGTCAAACAACAGATTGAGTATTTTTCCTATGTTCTTTATAGTATATAATCACTGTACAAAAATTGTCACATGCATGTTTTATACAAAATTTGTGCTCTAGCAAAATAACAAAAATCAGCCATTAAAGGTACTTGAACTACACCTCAAAATTTTCCCACAGCACATGCATGAAACATATTTTTCCTAGGAAGTACATGACATAAGAAGATTAACAAACTTGGAATCATATTTTTCTGAAGCCTATATATTTTTCTACATATTTTTCAAGTTATCAGCAATATTCAAGATTAAATAAAATCCTATAGAAAAGTATCTCAAAAATGACATGCACAATTTTTCCCAAGTAGATCTGATGATAAGGAACCTAGAAAAATTTGTTTCAACAAATTTGGAGCAGCTTTGAGTATCCAAACATTTTTTAAACCATTTCAAATTTCAAATAATAAAGAATAAATGAAAAACAATTCATCCCATCACATCGGACCAAATTTTTGATCGAGTCATTGGCCCACGGCCATTTAAGCCCTCTGCGCGCCCGAGCGCAAGGGAGGGAAGACGGCCCATGAATGCGCGAGCACACACATTGAGCAGCCGGCACCCGACCCGGCTCCCTCTCAAAGAAGAAATGACCGGCAAATGGGACCCAGACGCCGCGAGAGCAAACAGGGGACGGAGAGGGACGACGGCGCGGCAGCTGCGAAACTCACCGACGGCGAGGTCCCCGGCGAAACGGAGGGCACCAACATGCTCCCCATGCCAAACC